AAAAAAAAGCAAGTAAAGGTGGCCAGGAAGAAGAAAAGAACGACGCCAACAGCATAATGTGTCGCCAATTCTTCACTATCTATGAATGGTGCCATTGCGAAGAGGATAACGGCCACGAGCTCTGCGCAGCCCGCAGACGAGACATGTGTCCGGGGACCTCGATTGAAACCGTCCATATGCAGTGCTTCTGCCATCAGCATGCCAGCAAAGGGTTCAAATCTGAGAAAAAAGCCCAGAAATCAAACGGCTCTTCGATTGATGAGAAGGGCTCGTTCACTCCACGAAGGAAATGGTACCAGATCTGCGGCGGACGGTCACGGACGTACTGAAGTGTCTTGAACTCACCCCTTTTACGGCATCATATGCAGATCAATGGCTGGTTTCTTTTGCCTTTGCATCATCGAATTCTCGTGTCTGGGTTGGGGTTGGTTGAATTTTTTTGTTGGGGGGGTGTTTTTTTTTTAATTTTTTTTTGTCATGGATTCATTGGGACCGGTGTTTGGTTAGGTCTTAGGCGTTACTTCAGGTGATGATTAGGGGTGTTATGTCCTCTTTCTTTTTTTTGATATCTCTGGGAAGACCTCTGCGTCTCTTGAATAAAACCTGTCAGAAATACAGACGATGGTCGGGTCAATTGTAGCCGGCTAATGCGGGTCAGTTGACATGTCTTCTTGAGTCTTCATATGGATTGAATAAATATAGTAACACAAAATCCTATTGTTGCTATTGTTTTGGATGAGTCACTACACGAATTAATAGTAGATATACGTAGGGACTTGCATGGAGATGAGCCAGGAAAGGTGTCCTCAACCTTTACAGATATCTTTTCGCAACTATGGGCTACCATGCAATATCCTCAAGCGGGTGATACTTAGTCTATACTAGGTAATGGAGACTGCCGTTTTTAACTATTAAAGTGACTGATCGGCCTTTTGTGTCTTGACTAAGCTTCCGAGCAAGTCGAGGTCATATTCCTATATTATCGTAGGTATTCGTTCATTACTGAGCTTTTTACCCTTATTTGTTCCCTTAGACAGCTCTTGTAGAACAACATTCTTGGGTACGCCATTCCACTATTTAAAGAGACCACTATGATTGATTCCAATTAGAATCAATCATCCTAGAGCCACATACACTTTTAATGTACTCCTAACGGATTTTACTTGACTCTAAAATATTTTCTGTAGTCGAACTCTATATAGAGTAGTTTCTAGCTCAGTATTCACGACACACCTAGTGTCTTAATATGATTCAATAAGATTTATAATCATGTCCTGGGGTGGTAGTGGTAGTAGTTTATCCTCTTCTGCACTTCATTGTTTATGAGATGTGGTCCTTTGGGTCGGACAATAGCAGCAATAAACTGGCGACATCATTCGAATTTCGGCATACGCCATCGGAACCTGTAGTGCCACTTTACTTTATAATTGATAGTAGATGGACCAACAATCCAGGATCACCGCGAATCGGCAGTCATGTAGTACACAATAATGAAACCGTACGCCCCTCATTCGGCATTTGGGCTATTGGGGTCTCTCGAACTGTCCACCATCTTGAAAAAGATGTAAGATCAAAGGATGTTAGCTTCCTGTGTAATCGGGACGGTATAGACAACCTGGTTATATACCAGGCATACTTTCCCTACATACTTGGGTTTAGTATGCCGTGGTCTACCTTTCCGGAGAACCTGCCTACCTCTTTCTTTTCCTTTCGTCTCGTGAGGCAGAATCCAGAACAACATCAGCCATGCTAGCATTGTCAACTCTTTAAAGACTTAGATAACGAGCATTATAATCCATTTGACCTACTCTGTACCAATATCTGGCATCTAGGGAATATACAATGTCACCGGAAGCAAGGGATTGCAGTCTCACTACCTGCAGCATCAGACAGCGCATATCAATTAGCTGAAAATGAGGCGTCTCGGCGAGTCCGCCACCACACTCAAGTTACAATAACAGTACTCTTAACCGGAGTAGAATAAGAAACCCAGAAGAATACTAGCGATTGCTGGATCCAGAGACCTGTCATCTTACTAAAAAACCAAAATGTACTAATAGGTTAAGGGAATAGAAGAACAATTAAGTATAATAATAGTCAGGTAATTTCTTACCTATGAATTAATACAATTTATCAGAGCACCTGCTCAGAGTTCTAGTATCTCTCAAGATGAACTGGTAGATAGACTAACACTGTCGCTCAGCTGAGAACCATAGGTACGCTCCAGAACCATACAGAACAGTCGCAATTCGGTGATCTTTTTACTTATAACTTGATTTACGTACTGTACTGAGATTGAAGAACATACAGAGGGACATGGGATAACGAAAATCTCAAAGATCGAGGGGTCATTTATATGTTGCCTAGAGAGACAATTAGGGCTTGCAGACTCAGCTGAGTTCGGGGATGCTGCCGCGGCTGGGTTGTCTCAGGGGCTAGTTGATGATGTGGGACCAGTTCGGAGGAGCAACATGGTTCCCTGGTTAAGAAATTGAGGCTTCTTTGACAGGGCGTATGACGCAAAAGTTGCTTGTGTTCCTCCTTCGTCCACTGTGTTTTGGGTGGGGGGGTGGGGGTTACCTAGGAATTTAGAGGGTGCCTCCTGTACTAGTAGTGTTGTTGTTATGGAAGTCTACCATGCCTGAACTGGTAACATGATCAGTTCATGGCATCAACGGATATTCTTGCGGAGAAATTGATCGAGAGATATTAAAGAGTAAAACCACGCGGTCCTTTAAGTAATGAATGCCCTTGATATAGTTATTTATCTGTCGTGAAGAATGAAAGGGGAGGTTGAGAGAAGAATGGAGGATCGACTGCCCCTTACCCTATCGGGGGGGAGAAAGTTTTAAGGGATCCAACGATGAGAACTAAAACAACACCTGTTTGTTCTCCCTACTCTTTTGTTTTTGTTTTCTACCTGGTACTTTTCTTTCTTCTGATCTTATCCTGGTCTTATTGTTTGACTCTCGATTGTCTACTATATTATCACCAGGAAGATAAAAAAGCAAAAACAAAAGCAACGCTAATACAGCCACACCCTTCCCCCCAAATGAACCTACTATTTGCGTCATGGACCCCTCCAAGCGCGACGATCCTCCAGCTGCATCATTCACTCCCACCTCGGACGCACTCGCGTCGCCAACTCCCACCAACGATCCTGTAGACCGTTCGCATCGCATGAACAATGTGTCAATGCTGGCGACACCTCTCCCGGTTTCTCCCTCCGGATTTTCCTCTTCCTCTTCTCTCTTATCCCCAGCAAATGCCCCCGCGCGCTCTACATCCCCTCAGGCGCATACAGCCCCTCGGCGCATCTCTAGTTCTAGCTCCCTGCGCGATGAACATCGAAGCTCCAGCCTAAAGAAGCGTTCGTCCACCGCGTCGCTGCGATCGCTCCGCAACGACAGCAGAACTTCAACATCCCCTCACCGTAGTGTATCGCAACACTCATCGTCGTCACTTTCAAGCTCTCCTACCGCCACCACACCAACCACGTTGGGTAATCCCAACATGCTGTCAAAAAAGTCGCGTCATGCCAAAGCAAATGAGCCTCCTACACCAACAGCTGCCTCTATCGCGACAGACCATTTCCAAAGAGAGGTGGAGCTGCACCAGTCCACTGACCTACGGTCTCAAACCCTTGTGGTGATCCATGATGCCTGTTATGGTCACCGCTTTTCACGTCCCCGTGCCTCCAGGGCAGCTCTGGGCTCGATCGTCGAAAGACCAGAGCGTATCCAAGCTGGTGTCCTGGGCGTGTCTGCCGCTTATGTGCGTCTTGCTCACCGGTATGAAGGGGGTAGGTTCACACCCCACCCAGACATGAACCTGGACGATCTCCCCGTACCACCGTTTCAGATCTGCAGAACGGCACGGTCGATGGCACTCAGCTCACCAGCAGTGACGCATGTACATGGTTCCAGGTGGATGGACGATCTAAAAACCATGTGTGACGCGGCGGAATCCCGACTTGCATTGAACGGCAAGGAGCTGGTCCGACCCCCGAGTGCAGGAAAGGACGGCGCCATGGAAAACGCGCCTTCGCTTCATGAAGGCGACCTTTATCTGTGCTCGGAGTCTTTGAACGCATTCGAGGGAGCTTTGGGGGGTGTCTGCGAGGGCGTGGATGCCGTCTTTGGCCCCAGGTCGACAAAGCGCGCGTTCGTGTGCATCCGGCCCCCGGGTCATCATTGCTCGTCGGACCATCCGTCGGGGTTTTGCTGGGTTAACAATGTCCATGTAGGCATCTCCTATGCTGCTATGACCCACGGTTTGACTCACGCCGCTATCCTGGACTTTGACCTACACCATGGCGACGGTTCACAGGAAATCGCATGGGAGCAGAACCGGAATGCTGCTGCAGCTCCCCGGAGTGCAGCAAACTACAAGAAGACCGCTATTGGGTACTTCAGTCTTCATGATATTAACTCGTATCCTTGTGAAATGGGAGAGCCGGAAAAAGTGCGCAATGCAAGTGTGTGCATAGATAAAGCACATGGTCAGTCCGTTTGGAACGTCCATTTGGAGCAGTGGAAGACCGAAGCTGAATTTTGGGACCTTTACGCATCCAAGTATGCGGTGCTGATCGAAAAGGCGCGTGCCTTCCTACGCTTTCACACTGAGCGCCTAGCTAGTACTCCCAGTGGACCTCCACCTGTTGCAGCTATCTTTATCTCTGCGGGCTTTGACGCAAGTGAATGGGAAGGGGCGGGAATGCAAAGACACAAGGTGAATGTGCCTACAGAATTCTACGCCAGGTTTACCGCAGATGTCGTGCGGATGGCGGAGGAAGAAGGTCTGGGTGTTGGCGGAAGAATCGTTAGCGTTCTGGAGGGAGGTTACAGTAATCGCGCTCTGACAACGGGTGTTCTGAGTCATCTGTCGGGGCTAGGGGATGCGACCTCGTGTCTGATGTCTGGCGGAGTGGATGACAAGGCCGATCGTTTAACTGCTGAGATGACGAGTCGCTTGGGCTTGCTTGATATCTCAGCTAATGTCCAACACTGTTCAACTCTACCGGCTTATGACAGCGGGTGGTGGTCGCCAGCTCTGTTAGAGGAGCTAGAGGCATTGGCATATCCACCGCCAGCACTGAAGCCTCGCGAGAAGTCTACACCAACTTACTTTGCTCCTACCCAGTCATTTACCGCTAAAGTGGTCACTACACCTCGTGATCGACGATCAACCGGTTCCCAGATCAGCGTGGAAACCGATGCGCCGCCATTGCCGCCTGTTAGTTGGGCCACCGCAACGCATGAACTCTCAAGGATTCTTATCCCAAGTCATCGGCAAACGACAAGCTGTCGACCAGAAGATCTCAACGCAGAAGCCACACGTTTGCGACGGGAACGTCAAACGGCTGCCCAGCACACTAGCATCCCTTCGGCTGGGAATGAAGAAAGTCGGATGAAGCTCCGTGCGAGGAAACCCAAGCCTCCATTACCCGAAACCCCGAATACAGAAACATCGAAGCGGCAGGCCGTTAAAAACAACCGAAGAACCACCATCGAACGTGCCAGTGACCTGCCGGACCCGTCCTTCGATAAATCTCCCAACACGCGCAGCACAACCCGTAGGAAGAGTGCCGTTTCCACGATAACATCAACCCCGGAAAACAAAACCCCAGGCGATAAAACTGTGCGCTCGGCGTCGGCAGCTAGCACGCGCAGGCCTGGGAGCTCTCGGTCTGCGACTCCTAAGCGCGCCTCGAGCCCCAAAACGGCACCTCCCGTGCCTCGGGTCCCGTCCGTATACACGAGTTTGTCTGCAGGCGAAGGAGCAGCGATCACGCCTGTTGAATCGCGCTCGTTATCGGGGGGCACACCAGACACACCGCAAGATGATGTGGATAGTCTGGCAGCAGGTGTTCGAAAACTCAACATCAAACTGAAAGTACCGTCCCCTGAGGAACATGCCGCCCGGGAAAGGGACCGCGAGCGACAGGCTTCTAAGAGGGTATCCAAGACACCTAACCCCTCCAAAAAGTCCTCAGGTACAAAGGGATCGGATGCTCCCGTCAATAAAATGACATCTCGTTCAAACACGGCTCTTGTAAGACCCGATACAGAGGATCCCATCGTATCGTTGCCCACAACTACCCGTGTGGTAGCCGAAGGATCCGACCTCCCTAGTGGGACTGTCTTGGATAGATCCATGGTAATGTCCACGGTGATCCCATCACAGGCACGTCCTCCACAGCTGGCAGTCTCTCCGCCTGTCACGCCGGGAGCTACGCATGATATTATGCGCCCTCAACATGCGTTGTACTCTCCGCCGATATCTGAGCCCTCTGTCAAGGCAGGCATTCCGGTGTTTACATCCAACAGCCCTATTCCTTTTGCACCAGCAAGTGCTCATGACGAGACCGCTCCAAACACGAGCAGCAAGCCACCTACTTAACTTGCTCGGAAGTATTGCTTCTAGCCTATCCGACTTTCGATCGAAAATACTGTTTAATAATCTTGTCCGGTTCTGATTTCCTCGGTTTCTGCGAATTTTACTTTGTCAGATGATTCACACACTTCTACCCCTGACCCCTTGCAGACAAGATTACATAACCCTCGACTTCTATTACACGTTGTTGATATACCCCTTTAGTTGTTGGAGTCTTTTGAATCTAAGTGCGGATTGAATTGCTAATCCATCTTGTAAATGTTCCCAATGACACGAGTAGACCAGCCTTATCTCCGATCTCCGAGATCTGATAAGCATAGCTCCACGTGCCTGCGCCACCGCCCTGATGAGTAAGCCCTCTCTCCGCATGTGCTGGTGCCTTCTAGTCCTATCTTCTCTTTCTTGCTTTTCTAATCCAACCTTCAAAAAAGTTTTATAATTATTTGTCGGCCGGAGGCAGAGTGCCCTCTCCTTACTCTGAACAGCTACTTGCATCATCCGCCTTCGCCATGGCACCCATTTCCATGTCCAAAGATGGGCCCTCGCCACAGGAATCTTTCACGCAAATGGCCGACAAAGATCTAGAATCGATCGGGCGTCACTGTCAATTCGACTATTGCAACCAACTCGATTTCCTTCCATTCCGCTGTGAGTCCTGTCGTGGGACCTTCTGTCTTGACCACCGCACGGAAACTTCGCATAAATGCCCCAAAGCCGGTGAATGGGCTCGCCGACGAAACGCTCAGAACGCAAGCCCCGGCACCAGTCTCCCGACGCAGAAACCCACGATCTACAACTCGGACCAATGCGCGCATCTCGACTGCAAAACCCTCATCAACACGATGAAGGACCCGGGCGTTCGATGCCCCAACTGCAACCGCCAGTACTGCCTGAAGCACCGACTCCGGGAGGAACACGACTGCGCCAAGATCACCCCGCTGGGCGGTCGGCCGGCCGCCGCAGGCTCCAACGCCAACGAGACGCTGCGTTCCATGTTCGCCCGGGTCCGCACATGGGGCAAAGATAAGAGCCACGCGGCGACCCAGAGTCTCACGCCGACTCCGAAACCGAATAGCCCGGCGGCGCGGGCTGCACAGCTGAACACACTCAAGAAGTCGGCCAAGGGCGACGCCAATGTTCCCGCCGACAAACGGCTCTATCTTCACGTGGTCGGCACATCGGATACGCAGAGGGTAGACCCGCCGAAGGGCGACTTCTACTTTGATAGCCGGTGGAAGGTCGGGCGGGTTCTAGACGATGCGGCGCGGCGACTGCGGGTGGAGAACGTGAACAATCGTGCGGAGGAAAAGGAGCGACTCCGGATCTTCCATGTCGAGTCGGGGGAGTTCCTCGAGTTTTCGGATGCAATCGGAGCCGCGAAGGTGCAGTCTGGACATACCATCGTCTTGATGAGGGGTGCGGGTGTGATGCTGGGGAAGTAGATCTAGGTTGGGGGGGAGAGCTCTCATCTTACTACCACTCTGCTCTTTTTTGATTTTCTTATACTTGGATTTGATGAGAAGTTATGATACCATCGCATTGTTTGGCGATTGTCGTTAGTATTATGCATCAGCATGCAGGCGTTCCGGAGTGGGTTCCAGACGGAAAGATGAAGATTAAATGGCAGCTCGTTGAGCAATCTATATATAACTGACTCTATTTATATTGTCGATCACATCAAATACATACGTTCATGAATAGCCTATCTTTTGACCGAGAGTAAAAAGCAAAAGAAAGAGAAAAAACAAGGTATATAACGCACGAGAAGAAATGCAGGGAAAGCAAACGTTAACTAAACGCTCATCTTCATCTTGATAGCCTTATGAGGGTTATATCCGACGACCTCAAAATCCTCCGGCGTCCAGCTATCAACCACCCCACTACCCCGATCATCGCGACGAATCTTCAACTCCGGGAACTCGGTCGGCTCCCTCACCAGCTGCTCCTGCAAGGGCTCGACATGGTCCAGGTAGACATGGGTATCACCCATGGCATGAACGAAGGTACCGGGATGCAAGTCCACGGCATGAGCGAGCATATGCGTCAAGAGAGCGTAGGAGGCAATATTAAACGGCACGCCGAGAGCCACATCACACGAGCGCTGATAGAGCTGGCAATGGAGATGACCCTTCTGGTCTTGACCATTGGGGTAGGAGACGTAGAACTGGGCGAACATGTGACAGGGCGGGAGGGCCATCTTCTTGAGATCAGCGGGGTTCCAGGCACTCATGATAATGCGGCGGTCGAAAGGGGTATATTTCAACTTGTGCACGACCTCGGCGAGCTGGTCAACTCCTTGGCCCGTGTAGTCGGTTTTGGCGTCGACGTACTCGGCCCCGAAGTGTCGCCATTGGAACCCGTATACGGGACCGAGGTCGCCTACGTCGCGGTGGCCCAGGCCGACTTTGTCGAGGAACTCGCGGCTGCCGTTACCGTCCCAGATCTTGACGCCTTGGTCGGAGAGCGGCAGGGACGAGGTGCAGCCGGAGATGAACCAGAGGAGCTCAGCGACGACGGCGCGGAGGAAGACGCGTTTGGTGGTCAGGAGGGGGAGGACGGGAATGGGGTCATCGGCTGGGTTGGGAGCCGGTTTGGAGAGCGAGAAGCGGAGCTGAGGGGGTGCGAAGATGGAGCGTGTGCCTGTGCCTGTGCGGTCGGGTCGGTATTCGCCTGAGGCGAGGATCGTGCGGATGAGGTTGAGATATTGGTGTTCTTCATGGTTGGGGTTGTGTGTTGGGTTCGGTGTGCTGCCGTTGCTTGTGCCGGTTGATGGTGTCTCAGCGGAGGGTGACATCTTTGCCGGTATCTTCTGATATTTATTGTGGGAAAGCTTTTTGGTATTAGGGGCTCTGGGATGTGAAGTTCAATTGAGAGATTTCGGATCTTCTCTTGTCGTCGCATCAAACGCGTCCGCGACGCGGCACGTGAGCACGTGATGGACTATTTGAGTGGTTTGCCGTTTACATACTAGCTCTAGGGTCGAGAGATTCAGGTCATCCACGACGCCATGGTATATGCATTAGACGCTATCTATAATGCTCAAAGACATGATATATGCTACTAGTCTTCCATCAAATCAACTCCAACCCCCCGTAGCGCCTTCACTACCCATTCCGGGTACTTAGATTTTTCTCCATAAAGCTTGCTGAAGAACTCCCGTAAAAATGCCGGGAATCGGTCCTCCAAGATAGCCTGTCGCGCAGCGCCCATCAGGGAAAGTAGATAATGAACGTTATGAATTGTAAGGCTGCTCGTGGTTAGCACAAGATCCTTAAAAGCGGGCGAGGCAGTCTTACAGATGAGCGCCAACCGTTTCCTTGGCCGCTAAATGATGTATGTAGGCCCGTGTAATTCCTAGACCACCCTGATCTTTGGGTCGACAGATGGTGCAAGTGCAGCCTTCTTGCACCGGCCCGAAGTCCTGGGCAAAATTTTGGTTGCGAAGGTTGAGAGTGCCAGACGGGACCACCGCGTTTCCAAATCGCTATATTCGTCAATCAGTGCCGAATTCTCTAGTAGCCGATAATGGGAGTCTTACAGCTGTCCTCGTGGGCCAAACGCAGTCAAACATGTCCGCACCGAGTGCAACTCCTACAATCAAGTCCTCGGGGTAGCCCTGAGAGAACGTTAGGCAGCGCTTAAAATCGGCTTTGGATCACTTACGACACCCATCACATATCTCGGTTTCTGATCCGGAAGAAGCCCAGTACAAGTGTCGACCCTATGAACGTTAGCCGAAACTCGGCTTTAGAAGAAGCGAGTGGTTGAAGGAGGAATAGATATTGACATACACTTTACAAAACTCCTCCTTAGCTTCTCCTCCGGAGAGTCCGCCGATGGCAATGCCCGGGGTATCTCGCGCTACCATTTCAGCGCAGCACTTCCTCCGCAATTCTAGATCCAATCCTCCTTGGATGATACAGAACAGGTTTTGTCTCTCGGGGTACTTGTGCGCGTCAATGCACCGATCCAACCACCGCACCGATCGTTCCATGGCCTCCTCAATCCTCGCGTGGTCCGGCGATGTGGTCGCGATAACATCATCGAGTTGCATGATAATATCCGAGCCTATCGAGTTCTGCAGGGAGATAGAGTGTTCCGGAGTGAGCAGCCTAGTTCGCAGTTATTAGGTATATCCTCGAGGATCTGGGATGAAACGGTGGGGGAGCTTCGTACATAGGTGTACCATCGTGAGGACTAAGGAATCGAACACCCTCCTCCGTGACAGTAGCAAGTTTGAGCAAGGAAACCATTTGAAAACTAGGGTTCATGTCAGATTTCGCTTCGCGCATATAACATCACCCCCTCCTCTTCGGGATATATCACAACCAACGCACCCGCCACTATCGGTAAGAATATTTCGATCCCACCCCTGCAACTTATGCGCACCGCCCACCTCGTCCAAGACCGCCTGCCCAGGTTTCAACCCCAAATGGTAGGTGTTATTCAAGCACAGCATGCATCCGGTCTGTTTGAGCTGATCATACGTCAAGCCCTTGAGGGACGCCTGCGTCGCAACCGGCATAAAGATCGGAAGAGGAACGGAGCCATGAGGAAGATGCAGAGTACTGGCACGAGCTTTCGTGGTCTATAGCATATTCAGGTAACTGTTAGAGCCGGACAAGAAACAATCGACTCAAGCGACGGATGCAAGCTACAGCTTACTGAACATTTCGTATGCAGATCGAACTTCAATGCAGAAGGCATAGGCTTGCGCGGCGCAGAAGTGGCCGGTGCAGACGTTGACATCTTTGCGATTCTTGCCCCGCTCAGGGTCACGGAGGGAAGCGTACGGCGTCGCGAAGGGATTGTCGCGCTATAAAGGCTATGCAACGTTTGTCTAGTTAAATAAGGCCGAAGGCATGTCATCAAGAGGGTCGTACTGTCAAAGTGTCAATTCGAGGCACGAGACCGCAAACCGCAACAATTCATTATCGATAGAGAGCAACCAAATGTTCTGCCGATCAGGGCTGTTTGTCTTGTTTGTACAGTTTGCAGTGCCTTTGGTGGTGTGTCTGGTAATTACATACCATACTGTATCGTACAGGGCGGCCCCCCACATCGCATCCCCCATACCCGACTAAATAAACTACTCTGTGGAGGAATCTTATGTCTTTCGACTGAGCATGATTGATGGCTGGGCAGACAACTAGTCTACAGATTTAATGGCTCTTCCCCCTCCCTGAAACTACCATTCGGGGCTAATATGATCCTAATATCCTGACCAGGTCTTTCCTATTCACTGCTAGACCATGCATGCTTACCATCGGCAACTACCGAATTTACCAAGCAAGCTGGAGAGGGCCGACAATTTCACTAATTGTTATCACCAATGGCTCGATGGAAGCTGGAGCCAGTCAGATCAATATATCAGCTCTCATCCATGTCCACCCAACGCGCTAATCGGAGATTGACCGACTCTGGAAGTGGTTGTACTCTGCACCGTAACTTTCCCTAGCGAAGTTTTCCCCGGCTATTTGGGTTTGGTTCATGCGGGGGTTGCAAATCCTTCCTGATGCAGAGAAGTCGTCGCATAACTTAAAAGATCTTGTCACTCGGGGTCGCTTGGCCTTCACCATCCGTTGCAGGAGGGCCTGAGTTTTGCACCATGGACGAGAAAGAGAAGTACCACCAGGCTGCTGAGAATGCCGATCTAGAGAGGGATTCCGAGGTATGACAACGCAAGAGGATCAGCCTGGGATGTCATACTAATTGATCCGCCATTAGAATCTCCACGGTCGGGATATTGACAACCCTCGTGAGAGAGCTTTGGTCTGGAAGCAAGATCTACGGATCCTTCCACTATGCGCCGCGATCTACCTTCTCTGCTATTTAGATCGATCTAACATCGGTAGGTTGCAAGTGCTTCAATTGTTTACACTCTGTCTCTGCAGGGCGACATGATTTAGGTGGTCAGGTAACTAATCGGGGTACAGGAAATGCCAAAATTCTCAATGAAGACACGGGCAATGACCTCCTCACAGAGACTGGCATGACTTCTTACCAATACACGTATGCCAATTCCAGGTCGATTCCGTCTTCTCACTAAGTAAGGAAACAGTATAGCGCTGATGGTATTTTTGATCGCCTACGCCCTCTTCGAGGTTCCATCAAATTACTTCCTGAAGAAGCTAAGACCAAGTGTAGGCACTGAACCTGTTACAAGAATCTGAGCTCAGATACTAACATTACTTAGAAATGGATTGCTTTCTTGATGCTGGGCTGGGGTGCATCCACCATGGGCTTGGGTGGCGCACACAATTACGCGCAGGTTACTGGTATTCGTTTCTTACTGGGAGGTACATAGATGCGTAGAGCCCTCACGAGCCATCCCGTCTCATAGACGAAATCTAACCCGTACCCTCACAGTTATGGAAGCGGGTCTCTTCCCCGGACTTGTTTACTACCTGACTTTCTGGTACCGGAACTCAGAGCGCTCGATGCGCGTGGCGCTCATCCTCGCATCAGCTACATTGGCGGGAGCCTTCGGCGGAGCAATTGCCTATGGCGTCGGACACATGAACCAAACCCACGGTCTATCTGCATGGCGATGGCTATTTATCATTGAAGGAGCCCCTTCCTGTGCCTCTGCCTTCCTGGTCTGGTTCTTTCTTCCCGATTACCCCGAAACTGCGTCATGGCTCAGTGCAGAGGAAAAGGAACTCGCGATGCAGCGACTGCAAAATGAGGGCTCAAAGGGAGCTGCGCATGCCATGACCTGGGCAGATGCTAAGGAGGTCCTAACGGATTGGCGGTTATACGCCCATTATATGGTGCGTCTGTCCTTGGTGTCCTGGAACATGTTTCCGGCTAGTATCTAACCTAACATGGACTTTCCCTTGGCATGTATAGATCTATTTTGGCATTTCCACACCTTTTTCCAGCCTCTCGCTCTTTACGCCCGCAATTACAAGTGGGCTCGGGTATACCAGTCTGCGCGCTCAGCTCATGACAGTACCGCCATGGGCTGTAGCATACGTAGTCACCACAGCAGCAGCCTGGTCGGCAGATCATTTCAATAGGTACGCCGTGTACATCCCCAGACGTGGTAAATTCAATTTGGTCTAACTCGGAGCAACTGGTCTCTAGCCGCGGCCTTCATTCGGCGGCATTCTCCTTCATCGGGGCCATGGGGTTCCTAGCATCTGCCGTTCTCCCACCGGACGCATACCTCGTACGTTGACCGCGCCTCCTTACCGACTTTTATAGCTCGTACTAATCTCTGCTAGCACCGCTATGGCTGTCTGATAGTAGCCACCAGCGGTGCCTTCGCCTGTATTCCCCCTCTTCTCGGCTGGCTCTCCTCCAACCTCCGCTCAACAGCCGGAACCGGCCTTGCGATCGCATTAAACGTGTCGGTCGGAGCTCCGGGGCAGATCGTGGGCGTGTGGATTTATAAAGCCAACGAAGCGAAGAGGGGTTATCCGACCGGCCACTGGACCAACGCAGCGCTCCTTCTGTTTGTCTGTGTAGGTTGTCTCTTGTTGCGAGTATATTATGGATGGAGGAATAAACGGAGAGGAACGGGGGATAAATTTGCGTATTAGGAAGAAAAGAAAAGATTTTTTTTTCCGGTCCTGCTCTTTTTCGCCTTTCGTTTCTTTGTTCCTTCGTGGTTTGGGGGGACCACCGAAACAATGGAAGCTAGAACCGTCGGATCGGCAGTGTATATAGCGGATGAGGGAAATTAAAGTCGGACGAACCATGGTACGCGGCACGTGAGCAGAGAAATAAGGTTAAGCTCAGGGCATGACACGGCGGGATCCTGAAACTTGTTCCAGCGATTTGGGTCTGGAAAAAGGATGGGTGGTTCAACTTGTATACAACCTGTCCCGCCCTAGATTTGTACCTTAGCAGGAGTCCACCTTCACACATCGTATATCTCTTCAAATCTTGGAAGAAATCCAGAGCAAAGTATCCGCCGGAAACGATACTAGATGAAATTTCTATAAAAAATAATAATAATAATAATCACAAAATGAGGGGTAGAAGACGGTAACGGTCCACTCGAAGTTTCTCCCATCCCAAGACCAACAATAATGAAGAGCACAGCTCAACTCTAGGAAATTTTGGAAGGAAATAGAAAAACAAGCTTTCAATCCAAAAAAAAAAAGCCAGTTCTCCTGCGGCATTCAAACGTCTGTCCCGCGCGCATTCCCACAAACCCAGCAAACGAACATACTCCGTACCTGCGTTATGGTAGGAATCAAGCTCGCTTGTTTGTTCCTGTGATTATTATCCGCGAGGAATAGGCACGGAGGAGGCCTGAGTGTAAAAAAATATGAGGGACAAAAGCGCAGATCTGTAGAGTACGGCGATCGGAGATTAAAAAAAATATATATATATTCAAATTTGTTTGTTGTTCGTCATAAGGTAAAACCTGATCTGATCTGATCTGATCTGTCTGTCTGTCTGTCTGTCTGTCTGTCGTCAAATATAATCGTGCCATAATACCCGTACGCAACCTGGGCCGTCCGTATAATAGGCAAGGGAAAAAATGGAGAAGAGCTAAATCAGAAAGAAAAGAAGAACAAGAAGAAGGGGGGAAACATAATACCAGCACTTTCAGACATGACAGTCAACTGGACCATTGTCTGAGAAAGCTTGCACCCAAGAAGAAAAGGAAATCATGAAAGTCCCAACAGGACAGCCGAGTAGAGCCGAGTAAATGAAATTGCAAGCATTCTTGTGCCCAGGGTCGTAACATCACAGAGAGAAAGGCAATATCTGCATCCTTATACTCTGTGTGTGTCCCTAATCGTACCCTCGCCCCACCTCGGTGTTGCCAGAATGTCTGCATTGTACAATCAAAGATGCATAGGTCGACAGCCGGAAATGTTGTACACGTCTGCAAAACCGAGTGATCGGCGGCAATTCGAAGAGCGCTTTCGGAGCGAAGAGGTAAGAGGAAGGATGAAGGGAAAACAAAAACCGGAAATAATGGCAAGGTTGAAGCACCGTCAAAAAAGAAGTTACAGCCACCCAGAAAGCCAGGAGTGTCGCTCAGCGACCCTGGTTAGCCTATACTTGACCCGGGTAACTGGTGTTACCACGGGGCATTCTGTGAACAGAGTCTTTTCAGGGCTACCTCGGCAACATCTTCTTTGGCATTATGGCTGTGGGCGGCGTCGTACCAGAATCTAGCCGCATGCGTGTGCCCTTGGATAGTAGCGGTGCAGGACCAAGCCGTGCGACCACCTGAAGAGAAAAAGTGGCAACCCCGTTAGTGTACGGTACCACTGAGTTTCGATTGCAAAAGTCGGTGAACTCGACTCCACTCTGTGCGTGCCGAGACAGTATTCGACAACAAAGCAGGCTTTCTCATACTAGCAGAATACAACGGCGGAGAGGGCTATAAGAGAAAGGCAACGGAAGAAAAGAGTCCATACCTCGTCGGTCGCTGATTTCTTGAAATATGGGTTCTGGGAGTCTATGGTACTTGCAGTAGGCTTGTTGGGGACCATTAGCATATGGAAATGACATCCTTTCGAGAATAGCTGCAAAGTGGGGCATACTTTTAAGTTGGTCCTGCCAACTCGTCCGAAGAGCACTCGCATTATTTACTGGCGGCACTGGCATATCGAATCGCGATTCTCTTGTCAGAGGGACGGGGCACGTTTTGCAGAGTTGAACTCTTGGGCTCTTCTCCGGGAAACGAAACACTGGTTGTCCCTCAAGAACCTGGTCAGGGGTCACGGGTCAGGGTGGAGTGCGGATTGCCTTTGCGCAGGTAACGGAGATACGTAAAGGAAGAATGAAACCAATTGACCTGTTGGAAAACTTTTTTCCTGCTTCCCCTTCTTGTTAAACGGTTGGCCTTTTTTATCTTCTTGTCAATCCAAACAGTCTCAATAGATATGGGAGGCGGGGAGTCATATAACTGTGGGCCATGCTGTTTTTTTTTAAGGGAAAAGAAAAAAAATCAGAAAGGCAAAAAAAAAAAAAAACAGAAAAAAAAAGTCCCCCTCCAAAGCGTCACTGTGCAAGACAGTTTTTGGCGTGACAAACACGGAACCTAATCAATAAACCTAACAGGCGGGCTTATGCATGTCGCTGTGGACATGGCACAGCGTCAGCAAATTTCCCCCCCTACTTATCCTCCACTTAAGAAGCGCCAGTTGCATGGAGAACCTGCGGATCATCTTGAGGCTGCAAGCTGGAACGGCCCGGCGCACGCCGACTGAGAATGTACCCTTGAAGAAACGCCTGAGTACCAGGATAGAAGGCCACTAGTCTCCACACACACGCCAGATCCTGGACCATGGACTGACGCAAAGTCCCAGTGAGACACTTGTTGTACAAAAGCGACGTACTACTTCGGATACGTTGGACAACTCAGAGCCCTTCATCTGTTTCCGGGTTGTGCCATGGTAACCATTGAATGAGCTATCTTTTTTTTTTTTTTGTCGTTGTTGTTGTTGTTGTTGTTGTTTCCCTTGTCCGGTAAACTGTGTTTTACCATCGGGTACAAACCAGCCGTTTGCCTCATGGAAGCTCCTCAGAAAGGGAGGGGGGAAAAACCTCTTTCTGGAAGGGATGGATAGTGGAGGGGTATGGTCCAAGGTCGTTGCCCAAAAGCGGAGAGAGGGGCCCATAGAATAAAAAGGCAACGAATTGAAAGCAGGATCGGTTCATGTCAACTGTGTATTTGAGCCACTCATAGAGCTGGAGGCGGGACCACAGGCCACAGTGCCAGCTCATCAATGACTTAATCAGGAATCAGGAAACGGAAACGGCTCAGTAAAAGAAAGAAAGAAAAAAAAAAATTCTCCTCAGCCCTGCGCTAAACAGTCATAGACCGGGCCGCTGTGCATGAACAATTGCTCTCCGGGGGAGGGGAGGGGTGGTAAGGGTTGCGAATTCACAGGAGACCACGGACTCGCGATATCAATATCACGGTAGCAAGAGCCAGTTCAACAGTTTGACCGACGCGTCCACGGTCTAACTGCAGGAAGCACAAGCGGCCAGCGAAGAAGGAATTGGGTCTGAATTTACCAGTCCAATCCCGGCGGAGAAAGGGCTATGATTCGCTGCATCCTTCTGGCACCGTGTTGTTGGGCATACATACGTGCATCTGTTCATTTCCCACGGTTGTGTCCACTATCAACATGAAAGTTGCAGCCGAACGAAGGCAAGGAAACAACAAATAGAAATCAGACGTGAATAAATAATTAATCGAGGCGGCACGTCCGCACCTCAGGAACCTGCATGAAAAGGAGACGCGATTGATAATCGGCGTCAACGGGGAAGGGTGAAGCGCATCCACGAATCCTCTCTGGAAGCCGTTGATTCGCGCGGCACAATGTTTGGAACGAGCCTCGATCTGCCCCGCATCGGCCTCATCGACAAGCTTAATTGATCTCTGCCCACTCCCACGGGTAGCGAAAGGCTAGAACCATCGTCCATGCTTTCTTTCACCCAAGTAAAACGCTAACTCGAGCTTCCGTGTCTTCCGCGGCGTCCATGCTGGTCCAATCAATCCGGTCCCCGTAGCAGTCGCCCAATTCAGAATATCGTACTTCATTTCCCCCTCCTCTTGTGTCCCGAGGCCAACATCATGGGGCCTGACTCGCTCCACAGACAGGAGGACAAGTCCGGAGGCGTTAAGAGACCATGGCAACAAACTTGTACGAAACGACTAACCGTTAGGTTCATGGTACATGCATATATCTCCCAACCCCGACACGCATGAACGCTAGGGGACTGGAGCCACCAAAACCAGAAAGGCCATACATGTTATTGATATTCCAAGAATAGCTATTTCGGGGGAAACAGAATCAAAGTTTACGTAAGTTAACCACAGAGGAACAAGCATAAAGAAAGATGAAATGTACAAAGCGAGATGGGTAACCCAAAATCCAATCACATAAACCTCCCATTCGCTTTGAAATGCACACTACAAGTTAAAATCACGCCGCTTTGAGTTTTCATTGCCGCCCAATCATGCTCGTGACAAAAATACACCGGGATATCAACCCAAAACCAAGTATTCCAGGAAGAAAAATGAGGAGAAGCGAAACATGACGAAAGAGGAAAGGGAAAACAAAAAAAATGAAAACGAATATTTTTGTGTCATATGCAAGCTCATCAAGATCATCAGATATTGGCTTCAATCAAAAGCGAATACAGCAAATGCCCCCTTTCTGGCTAACATAACAACAACACGTCATGACTCATGGCTACCACCACGGCTCTCGTCCCCCGGGGATTGTGTGTTACTCGAGCTTATGCCGAGCCTCGTCGATGGAACACCTCACTCAGAAGTCTACGAGGCCCCATGAACTCCATACTCCGGGTGAGTGAGGAACGCACGGGGAACATGAGCTGGCCATGTTTCCTCGAGTGCCACCTGCGACGGATAGAGTCTTCAACTAAGACCATCAATCCTGTAGCCACGATCATACTAGACCTCAAGTTAGTAACCGTCCACGGCTCATTTTTGGCTCCACGAAGAATCACTTACTCGGCAACATCTGGCATCTTCTCATACACAGAGTCCTCGCTGATCCACATGGAGGATGGGGGAACCCAGCCACCCTTGGCCTGCTCCTCCACGGCTTCCATTGGAGTCAAAATTTCGGGGATCAGGTGAGCGATCGTCTTGGATGTCCGCAGGTCTATCAGATGAAAAGCCACTTCCTGCAGGTCTCCATCTCTTCGGTGTTCTCGCCTCCACTGGTATCTTGTACACCAATATTCGAACTCATATCGCTTAGACAAGCCAGCACCACGTCTTTTGATCTCAACGTGGGCGTAATTCGAGAATTCCAGCATAACCGTATCAGCCAGGGGTTGATTGCGACCGTCCTGGCCATCATCGTCCTCTTCCTCCTCCTTAACCGACTTCTGGCCCAGGTCCTGCCGCTTGCGCTTGGAGCTATGCGTCGAATGATCGCCACTCGAGCCTGGACGTAAGCCGGCTAATGCACTGCTCAATGATCGTTGGAATCCTGGCCGCTTGTTTGAGCCTCCGGACGATATCGGTCTTCTTGCTGAGTGGCAGACCTCGCGCTCGGAATTGCGACAGTAGCGGCGAAAAGAAAACTCCCTTGAGTACAAATCGTACATGCGGAGATGAAAAAGTATAACGGCCTGCTGGTAGCCATCTCTGCGTGGTGCCAGGGTATGCACGCGAAGGTTCATGTTTCCATCAAGGGTCGTATCATCATGCCCGATCAGAAGCCGTCGCGAAGATGGGAACAATTTCCCGAAAGTGGAGGAATTAGAGGGAATCGCATCTGAAGGGAAAATATCTGACTCGGCCCCCCGAGTAACCACCTCATAGCGCGGCTTCTTCGGTAGTTCATCGTCGTGGCTCGTCGAGGCGTAGGTTGATACTGAATCTTTAGGGTCCATGTTCTCTGTCCGCTTTGATGTGGGCCGCTCGCTGCAGACCGTAGGGGCCGTGCTTTTCGAACGATCGGAAGCGTCACTGTAAGTGGAGCTCGAACTTCCTCCCGTCCGCGCACTGTGCTGTCGCGAAGATACACTGTAAGATCCCATGGTGGCTTTTGAGTCCAAGGTGGAGGCACGGTCTGTAATGGAATTGAGAAATATCACAGGTGGACAATGCCGCTTTATTCCAGTTGCACGGCAGGTCAGGTCAGGTCACGGGAGCAGTAAAGTATTCGGGAAGGGTTTGTCGTTGCGATAGGAATAAAGAAGAAGATAGTAGAAAAGCGGGTTAGATCGAAACGAAACGATATGATCATCAATATGTACTCCAGATTGCAAGGCACATTCCAGTGGCTGATGGCTATTACTCGGTTTGGGGAGCAAGGTATGTATGACCTATCAATCAATGACGGGGATCGCCTAGGGCTTACACCGAATACTGACAACACGAGGCAGAGGTAACTTGCCAACAATCAACAGGAGCAGGGTGATGCGGTCATACGATAAAGAGTTCGGTAGAAAGGAGGTACGGAATTAAAGAAACCCAACGAAGGAATATCATCATCAAGTAAGGTGATCAGAGTGTCCGACGATGAAGGAGGGGATTGTCAAGGGAGGGGTCAGTGTACATAGCAGATGACGCCAAGCGGACTCCAGAAGCCTGGATCTGCGATTCAAGGAACAACCGGGAAACTAGCAAAGTACACGACAAGGCGGGGCCCAGAGACAAGGTAGGTGCGTGGCGCAGGGAATCGAGTTGAAACAGTGGGAGGGCAACGAAAGAGAATGGATCAAAGGGCTGAATGCGGTGGAAACGGAGGGAGCCACGTTGCTGACGCTTTTAGTTCCTAAAAGATGGAGCACTGTTGATCAATGATGCCTTACTATTGTTCAATTATTTACTTACGGTGCCTATAGTGGAGAATAAAAGAAATCTTATTCTATTTTATTTTATGTTGTCTTTTTAACGAAAAAAAAAATTAAAAAAAAATCTTTATCTCTCTCTCCTTTCGATCGATTCCCAAATTATGAGAGATAGGGACAACAACACCGGGAAGAAGGAGGAGAGAACAATTCATCGGTCATAAAGAACGAGACACAACTGTCACTCGGATGGAAACAAACGGTTGATTATCTACCGAGCATCTTCATTTACAGTACTCTTGACTAATAGTGCACATATTTAACTAACTAGTTAGTAGGTACTATACAATTGTACCTTAAAAAATTCAAAAGATAAAAAGATCAAAATGGAAATAAAAGTCTAGATGGCATGCGTTTATTGGATGGCTGATCTCATCGCCTCGTCTTGGGAATTTTAAACTCTCCAAGGGAAAAAAAAACTCAGCCATGTAAATGTTCTATTTTACTACGATGAAGACTCGATAGGGTTGCGAGAGCCCTCAATTATTGCGACTAAATATAGTGACATATCAAATGAATCATGGCGATGTTGCACTGGACATAAAAGGTAAGGAAACATGTAATACAAAATAACAATAAATAAATAAATAAAAATAAACGAAAGGAAAAAGTAATGGAACAGGAAAAGGAAATATATGAACCCCGCACAATTGGATCTCTTGAACGCCCGAGTACCCGATCTATCTACTACTAAGAAGTAAGGTACTATGGAAACAAATGCATAGATAATGATAATAACGATAATCATAATAAAAATAAAAATAAAAACTACACGGCCTAACCCCCACTATTTTACTATTGTAGATACCAGGCTGACCGGGGAACGAAAATGGGTCGCAACCATTTCTTTCCCAGATCTACCTTTAGGCGGACAACTACTAGTATTGACCTTCTCACCGAGAACTATCTATCTAACCAATTAAGATCTCTCTGAGTAAGACGGCAGTAAATTGATTCAATCCATGTAAGGGATCGTGACCATAGGCAATGGCGTGTGGCTTGCGATATTCTCCGACCCACCAACTGAAAGAGACCCTAACACGGAGTAATCCGGGAGATCGCTTGCTTGTTGGCCACAACTGTATACCACCACACATATATTCTTCTACCTTCATAAGAATCCAAGGATGGTTGATTGCATGATGCATTTCGAGATCTTCTGACCGGAAGTACGCCCCTGCAGTTCTCTCCTGTGCCTCCGAACACCCGTTTCACATGCAGCGCAGACGGAAGAGCGATACCGTTGTCGTATCACTGGGGAAACCTTCAAGATCATGCACATCGTTCCTATCGGATAATAACCATTGTCCTTTCATATTATACCTCACCAAGGAAATTTCCTCTTGAAAATCACTGACACGCAACAACTATACCGTGGAATATTTACAGAGTATAATTAGGACAGTTACAGTACCAGGGAAACCAACTGGGGCCGCGGGTATTTAAATTCGGATCGGACCGAAGCCAGGTCAGTGCTTCCATAGTAACGGCAAACTCTTAGAACTATGGTTGATTTTGGATGGCAATCACAGCTCCTCTTTTATTCATTCTCTTTTTTTTTTTCTCTCTGTTCCTGTTTGTTCCTGAAGTTGCCGCCCATTTTACCTATTCCAGGTCAAGTATGACAAGGTATTTGTGCCGGCGGTAACCTATGCTCAATGAAAACTCCAAGGTATGTATATAAGTACTATGACTCTAGAGTAACCTACTTTCACAGTGTATCCCCAGAGAGCCACAAACAGCCTCCTATACCTGTTGAGGATTAGCTTCTGAGCATTTAGAACGTCCTCTCAGCCAGTGATCTGGACGAAGTATCCTGTTTAATAGAACCCGCTCATGCATATGACGCAATGAAGATGTACTACAATGAAAACCGGGAGAACAACGGACTTCTAACCGTCTTTACTGATATCATCATGGCAGCTGGCGGGTAAGGAGACTAACAGCCTGGTCTCATAGGAATTATTGGAGACCTTTGAGTTCTACCATATCCTTCGTAAGGTGGATGCCACTGCTGACCTGGAGCTTATCTAAGAGCAAGACTCTATTCCGGCAAGGTGGCGGAGATTTCCTAATCGTACTTGGTAGAACGAGCCACGTCCTGCCAATGAGAGTGTGTAGTTCCTACGGACATTCTAGGCCTGTTCTGAAAGCCCCATAGTAGATTATACAGGACATTATTTCCTAGTTTGAGAGGTCACGAGCTGTATGCAACCAGACACAGAGCATTCTGATATAGCAGGATCGAAGAATAACTTATGTATACCTCAAATCGTCACATCCACAACCCATTCTAGTTATATTGACAAAATGTATGGAACACTACTAAGAGACTGTCCAACATCAGGTTCACATCCCTCATATATACAAATCTGCAGTCCTGGTAGATTGGGAGTGGCAGACGGTACTGGTATCTGGGAAACTGGGATAACTCTCAGGGTTGAGAAATAAAGATAGAATAACAGTGAGCTTGTCAAAGTGGGTGACGACAGCAGGCATACCCTTGTCAGCCAAGGCCTGCTGTGGGTGTGAACAGTTTCTACTTCCGCTAATCGATCGCATATAGTTCGGGAGGTAAGGGGATGTTGGCAGATGGTGGCGACAAATAGACCGGTCTAGAGATGCATGAGTGCCTTGGGTGCGATAGCAACCTCAATCTAGGTTCATGCAGTGGGCATCATATTTGATGGGTAGTAGTTCTTTGACTATCTAAGTACTATTACCTCACACCAATCCCTTGGCGGGAATAGCGCAAGGGTCTAGATCATGATTCACCTAAAAAAAGGTCCACCTGGTCAACCCGGAAAGGGAGGAAACAAGGCTGGCATTAGTGTTGGGGGTTCTATGCGAATATTGTACATGTCTTTTGAGATCACTGCTGTCCAAGGGGTTCTTGTTTTGCCGGGTTACATTGAGTGTGCGAATGAAGAAAGGATAGAATCACCCGACATGAACACATACCTGATGCACATGTGTGCTTATCAGCATTAATCATAAAATGACTGCAAGGTCTCTTTCACAGGCCGTGACTAGCAAGATTGAACATGAAATACATGAAAAAGAATAGGCACATTGGACGAGTGTGCAGGGAAAGAACAGAATAGGTTCTGGTCAGCTCCACAGGTAATACAAGGGAGGACGTAACTGTAGAGTCCGCTGGAATGCACGTCATACGGGTCACATGAATGTGATGTATGATATGTCATATTCTACTTACGGAGTATACTTATTCTCCAAGAGTGTCAACAGCCGTAATTGGTATATTGATGAGCATTTGTTCTTCTGTAACTGGGGTAGGTGTAATTAGATAAGCACAAAGGGCTTGTAGCTCAGTGGTAGTAGCGCTCGCTTTGCATGCGAGAGGTCAGGGGTTCAATCCCCCTCGAGTCCACGCTTTTTTTTGAACTTTTTTTTTTTTTTCAATCTTAGCTTGTTTATCTCCCGCGATACTTTGCTTCATCCACTTCACTTCCCTTTTCCTGTCATTCTCCACTGGTATCCCATTCAGCATCCACAATAGGACCGCTTGCTGGATATGTCTAGCGAACGACACTGACATAATTGCCGTGAAATTGTAGAGTCACGCTATACATACTCCGTATTCAACTTCGGCGATTAAGTTACTTCAAAGTCCACAAAGTCTGCGCAATGGCTCCCCGATGCCGATTCTTGCGTAGCCTGGCTGCTACTATTTAATTTGCTTAGGCTGTGTTCAGTTACTCATCGTTCATTGTCCTTGCTTGTGTCATGCAGAGAAAGACGGACGACAAAAAAAAGAAAACGAAAAAAGAAACAAAAAAGTTGTGGACTCGAGGGGGATTGAACCCCTGACCTCTCGCATGCAAAGCGAGCGCTACTACCACTGAGCTACAAGCCCTATTGACACTTTTGGTAGAGACAAACTAAAATAGTGAGGGCACTAATAAATCAATCATTCTTCACTTGTGTGTCTCCCTCCTGTACTCAAAGCTCTCTAACCCTTCTAGTTCTCGCACAGACAAAGTCGTCTGGTAATTCTGTGATATGTATTGAATTGCATCGTCTCATCAGCAGGCTGTCACTGGATGTCAGGTCATGAGTTGGCCGATAGTTGAGAAGAGATATATTCATGCGCGATGATATATATCCGAACACCATTCAGTATTGAGTCTATACCCATCAACCCGTGGTTATCGGTAGGGCATCAAATTCAATTTGAAGCCAAGTAGCCTTACTATACTCAGCAGAACATACAGACACAAGGGGAAAATAAGAGTTCCTAGTATAACAACATCATATTCTATCATTTCACCCCGGCACAAACTTCTACACAGGGTTCAATTGAAATACCCTAAAAGATGTTATACCAACTTAGAGATATATCCAAGCTGAACCTACGCCTACCGTCTATTGAGAATTACACATGAAGTCCAGTGAAGTCCTAGGGCATAGTGTCTGTATCCAGAATAGACTGTGTGACCACAACTCGTGCCCATGACAATAACACCCTGACTTGGATTAAACCATAGACACATCGAGATGCGCACATAACCCACAGCCAAACATGATGCGAATGCAGAGCACACAGTGAAGTGGGATGGGCCACTATATGTCCTGTAGCATATCGGTGACGCCTCAAAGGACTATCCTGGCACCTTTGACACGAGCTCTAAATATGAGGACATCCTAAATAGTAGCCTAGGCCAGGCATAAAGGATACGTCGTGCACCTAGCCATATGGGATGGAGAGAGTGTTGGTTGATGTTACTAGGTGATGTGGGATAGGCATGTACTCCCAGGGCATGTACCGATCCCTAAATCACAGATCGACGTCGATTTGTTTATCTTACACCCAAACCGCATTTAGGTACAACCCGCTAAATCCGAACTCCAATCCCTAAGCCTGGGATATTCAAGGCAACGCGGATTATTTACCAATAAGAAGGATCTAAAACGCTACAACGAGATGAGGGCCTTTGGCCCTACAAGCTCATACCTGCGCCCACAGAGGCTGCGGAAGAGCGTCGCCCGGTTGGATCATCGCCTCCTGACGGCAGGCAGGCTGGGTTACAAGCCCAGCGCGACTCCCCGGAGCCGGTGGATGGAATCCAACGTATGCCTCGCGGCGGGCGGGTTCCCCCACAGTGACGGACCAAGTATGCAAGCCATAGTATGAGGCAATGGAATGAACGAGCCAGCGACTAACAAAATGAATAGGTGAGTGTCGACTCACAAATGCAAGAGTAAAAGGTAAAACTTACCCAAACCCAGAGGCCCGGTCATCTACTAGGCTCTCAAAGACTAACTTCTCCCCATCCCGTTCTCTGTTGGCATGCATTGCCTCCCGCATTTGCTGCAGTTTTTTCTTGCGTTCGGGGGAGTCGTGCATTTGTCCATTTCTTCCCACGAATACAACTTCGTCCTCGGAGTCCTCGTCTGACGATGCTGGGGCGTCTGCCAGGCCATCCTTCTCGAGCAAGAGTTGTTTTTCGCTCCATCTCTGGATGAACTGTCGGATGTCCTCTTCGATATCCTGAAGCATACCCCGTGCAGCACGCGCATGCTTCAGCTTGAGGCGGAGATCCTTCGGAATACGATGCTTCTCCCCCTTTGTGCCCTTCGCGGTCTGCTTCGATGAAGTGTGATCTATGTGCTTGTAATGGACGTCCCAGAGAGGAGCGAGGTAGTAAGGCATCGGGTCATGTCGAGTGTACGTAGGCTCCACAGCCCAGTCCCTGGAAGATGGTGGTTCGGCCCAAGGATTGTTCAGGAGGCGATCTTTTATGAAAGGGTCCGTCAGTACAACACTGTCGAAGAAGCTCGCCACTCGGGATCCGAGGTGCATAAAGTCGCGTAGAGCAATCCCTGATAAGCGTAACGAGTCGGTCAAGACGTACCATTCTCCCAGCGTTGCCTGCGACGACTTCCATCCTTGCCCTTCAGCAACGCCTCGCGTCTCTTCAAACTATCACGACGGAGAGGTTCTCGACGCCGGAAACTGACCGAAGGGACTTGCTGTGTCTGGGTGGAGGTCTGACCCAGGAGTTTGACCTTCGGAGCAGATGTATTCCCCGTGTTGGGGACCGAGTCATCCAGTGGGATTGACAGTGTGACCGTGGTCCCTCGCAAGGCGCCGCGTGTGGAAGGTGACTCCGGACCAGCACAACGCTGGTCGGCCGTAAGAACGGTATCCGAGATGGTCAAATTCTCCAGATGCGCAGCCGCCTGTTCTGACCAAGCCGATATTGCCCGGGCTTGCTGCGGGGACAAAGGTCCCTGGGTATTCGATTGAGGGCGCAAAGTCGGATGAATGGCCATGGCGCAAGAGACAGACCTCGGTAGGATCGCTCGGAGTCTGGGGTTGGTGGAGAGGGGGAATGAGTCGTGTAAAGGTCGGCGGAGAAAAACACGTAGAGCGTGTCGCGATTCGTATAGAGTCTACCTCCCTTATAGACAACCACTGTAAGCGGAGTTGAGAAAGGAGCGAAAAAGGAGGAGAAGGCGGGGGAGGAACTGAAGGCCAGAGAAGGAGATAAGAGAGATACGGACCAGAGTCCTGGATCGCTCGCGCTGGCGTCCCGGTCGCGTCCGGCGATTCTGGAATATTACGGGTTGAGTCACGATGGGGCACGAGTCCTGAACACTGGACCCAATTGGGTAAGGGGTCTCTAGCCCTAGCCCTAGGAAACTTTAACCGGGGTAAGGTTTCCCAATCAGGATTTGTAACGCGACACGAGTCAGTGTGATTCATCTATGATTGAATGTGAGTCGTATTATGAAGTCAACCTTGTTTGGATACCATACGGAGTTCCCATACGGGCCAGCAAAACATCCATTACGGTTATCTGGGCTCACATTGGCCAACCCCTTTTGAGGTAAACCAATATCACGCTTCATGCGAGAGACAATCCAATAGACTTCACAATCGCGGTGTGCAATGTAGACGACGTTTCGACTCCAGAGCTGCCAGGTTTGGTCATAATATAAGGACCCCCTTACCGCTAACATTACGGAGCACTCCGTGTGTTAAACTGCCCAGTTCTACGGAGTACTGCACAGTGTATGCTCTACCTAAGTAAAAAAAGACCCTGTCAACGGGGCACGGACTACTGTCTTTTTGAGGTGGGACTACAGGGCGCTATTCAGCGTTCTTTCAAGCTGCAGGAACAGCTCCTTCAGAACATGAGACAAACGAGACAGCCCCGAGTGGAAGCCCCAATAAACGATTGCCTGATCTGAAAGGGAGCTTTGAATGAATCAATACCTACTCCGTAGAACTCCCTATCTGTATCCTGGAAACTCCCTTTCTTGCTTTCTTTCTCTCTCTCTCTCTCTCTCTCTCTCTCTCTCTCTCTCTCTCTTTTCTTTTCTTTTCTTTTCTTTTTCTCTTTTGAGCGATTGAGCTTCTTCTACGGAGTACTGGAGAAAAAATAGATGTCAAAGTCAAGACCAGACAAGACATAGTGGATATTTCCCGGGCGGAGTTGATGTGTACAGCCACTTACTCTGTACAAGCTCCTGTTATTTCCGACACGGTCGCAACGCGGGGTGAATCAAAAGATTATTAATAGCGTTCAGGTCTTGGCCGGTGGAGTCGGGACTTCAACCTGTGATGGCCTTGGATTTATTTGGACAGGGAAATGCAAGTAGTGTTTGTATATGACACGGTGACATGTTTAAAGGAGAACTTGACTAGTAGTAAATGACTAGGAAACGAGGAATGACCATTCAACGGTCTTGAAAACGCCATCGCAGTATCTTGTTTGTATGCTGTGACAACCTCAACAAGTGCAGTTTGTGGTAGCATGTTGATAAATAACTAATACAATTTCGGCATGACTTTTGGACCCTACTGAGTACTCTCTGACCAGTCCATGTCCAGTGTCCACTACGTAGTACATTCTCTTGTCTCCACCGGAGCGGCTAATGTGCCTGCGCCTTCTGTCATTAAGTTTGGAGATTCTCAATTTAAGTGCCCTACTTTTTGTGCTACTACTACCTTACCTTACCTTATGCCTGCTAGTCCTTCTGATCCGGAACTTATAAGTATGATACGATGTCACCCCTAAGCGTATCTCTGACGCATGAAAGATCCGAACCCCGTCTCTCGTGCTGAGTTTAGTCGATCGAAAACCAAGCTATAAAACCCCATTTACATCCCCGCCATCATTGTTGTTAGGGTAGTAGTCAGCAGCGCGTGACTTGCACTCTGCTCTTGCTTATCATTTCCCTATTCCTCCAACTCCTGTACTCACTCGATCGATCGATCATTTACATCACCGTTGGAGAGAGCGGGTACCTCCAGCACCCCCTTCACCGTCCATCGAATACTTCTCTGTATACATATTTTCTCCCTTCCTTTTCTTTATTTTGTGATATAGTCTTTTATTCTCTAACAACCACGGCCCTCCCCTACCCCCTATATCGACGGTCATTTCATTGTGACGATTTCTTCGCAATCAGAATGAAGCTCCGAGCAACTCTTGCGCTGAGCGCAACGGCATCCGCAGGCGTTTTAGCTGCCGTAATCCCACAGCAGGCACTGCTGAATAACCCACAAATCCATCACGAAAATGAAAAGTATCTCATAGAGCTGGCACCCTATCAAACAAGATGGGTGACGGAAGAAGAAAAATGGGCTTTGAAATTGGTATATTCCCAAGATTCGGTTCTGCGTTGCAGACGGTTCGATTAACACTGGTTTAGGATGGCGTGAATTTCATTGATATCACCGAGGAACGAAACCCCGGATTTTACCCCACACTGCACCAAGCTAGTAACGTCCGATATCCCTCGAAGATGGAACATGTCGATGAGGTTGTCGCCTTGACCCACGGCCTCACTAAGGCCAACATGGAGCGGGATCTGGAGAAGTTCACCTCCTTCCACACGCGCTACTACAAGTCCCAGACCGGAATCGAATCGGCGACGTGGCTCTACAATCAAGTCCAGACGGTTATCGAACAATCTGGGGCAGCGGAACATGGCGCGACCGTGGACCAGTTTGCCCATTCATGGGGCCAGTTTAGCATTGTGGCTCGCATTCCAGGTAAATCGAACAAGACGGTCGTATTAGGCGCCCACCAAGACAGTATCAATTTGTTCCTTCCGTCTATCCTGGCTGCCCCGGGTGCTGATGACGACGGCAGTGGAACGGTCACGATATTGGAGGCGTTGCGTGGTCTGCTGCAGTCAGACACCGTGGCCCAAGGTAAGGCGCCGAATACAATTGAGTTCCATTGGTACTCTGCAGAGGAAGGTGGCATGCTGGGCTCCCAAGCTATCTTTTCTCGATACAAGCAAGAAAGACGCGACATCAAGGCGATGCTCCAGCAGGACATGACCGGTTACATCCAGGGGGCTTTGAATGCTGGTCGTAAAGAAGCCGTGGGCATCATGATCGACTATGTAGATCGAGGTCTGACACAATTTCTCAAAGACGTGGTTACTGCAGTAAGCCCTCTCAATTTCCCTACTTCTACTCATACGGCCTCGCTGACAATGTCTCCCAAGTATTGCAATGTGGGGTATCTAGAGACGAAGTGTGGGTACGCTTGCTCCGACCATACATCAGCAAGTAAATATGGCTACCCCTCGGCCATGGCAACTGAGGCTGAGATGGAGCACACCAACAAGAGGATCCACACGACAGATGACCGGATCAAATACTTGAGCTTTGATCATATGTTGGAACACGCGAAGTTAACTCTCGGCTTTGCTTATGAGTTAGCGTTTGCTTCGTTTTAATACTGGGCAATTTCTCTAATTTTTAACCCTGGGTCATGATTCACGACTTATCTCTAACAGTCAATGTGTGCCGTACTCATCCTAAGAACATTGATCTTAATCTACTAAACTACTTTCAGGATTAGCCAATGACTGATGAGAAATATGGCTAGGACTATGCAATTCAAGAATAGACTAGTTCTCCAACATACTCATTTTGTACACTTGTAGACTAATGCTTAACACGCGACTGGATGGATGGCAACTTCAGGCATTCAAGGGTTCGTCACGTGCCCCATGCCATGCTTGTTCTTCCCTTCTTACTGCAATCTCTACCAGTGAGACGATTATTGAAATCGTATCCTACATGAATGGATTTGAGCGCTACCGTTGCAGTCAAATCATTTCTCCCCATGATACTTCCATCATCATCGTAATTGCACAGGATCGTGCAACATGCACCACTTTCGGCATTTCTTAAGATCGATCTTCGAAGTGAAAAGCTGAGGTTGGTGGCTCAGTTCTGAAACTCTTGGAGCCGTCAATGATCTCACAGGTCTTCACACCCTTCTTTATTAGATAACTTCCATAGCGTGGCTATACTGGAGACCTTAGTACTCTGCCATTGGTTTTCTCCATCAACCACTTCACAATGTGGTCTATCGTTGGATGACTCCAGGTAAGGTTCGGCGGGACTAGCACTCCCAGACTATTTTGCAATCGCCCACGTAAATGGACGGTCATCACGCTGTCCATCCCCAAATTGCTCAATGGCTCCTGGCTGGACACCTCGTTGGTCTCCATCTGCAGCACCCTCGCGACACACTCTCGTACCTGTCTACTAAGAGTATCGAACCGGTCTGCAGGAGTCCGAGGCGGAGTGAGTGAATCGCCGGAAGCACTCAACGTGGGGCTTGGTGGTGGAGTGAGGATTGCGGAGGCATTCTGGGTAGCAATATCGAAGAGCAGCGGACTGGGAAGTGCTTCGTGCTTCTCTAATGCACGGCTCCGAAGTACCACAGCGTGATCAACGTCGTATTTGGAGACGTGCATCCAGGCCTGGAACGCTTCGTCCTGTGAAATATCCGTGATTCCCTTGGTGGCCAGCTCTGCCTTAACGAACTCGGAGCCAGCCGCCATTCCTATTTCGCGCCAGCTCGTCCACTGTATGGCGATAGTGTTATCTCCCTGAGAGCGACGATAACTTGCGAGAGCATCGAGAAATGCATTGCCGGATGCATACGATGCTTGCCCCGGAAAACCAAAGAATTGGCCACACGAGGAGAACAAGACCATGAAATCTACTGTTTTCGGCGGGAAGAGTTTGTCTAAAGTGAGTGAACCTGCAATTTTTGGTGCGAGGACACGCTCGAAGGCGTCTGGAGTGACAGACAGGACATGTTCATTGTGTAGAACCCCGGCTGCGTGTACAACTCCTTGAATGGGAGGGAGGCACAGGTCATCGATGCGGTTGGATAGTTGCGAGGCTGCGTTATGAGAAGATATGTCGACAGCGATTGCCTGAATTGTGGCTCCGCGAGACTCCATTGAAAGGATTTTTTTGATTGCCGGTGCTAGTGGCGAGGCCGAGTGGATAAGAGCGGCCCAGTCTTTCCGACGGGGGAGTGTACGACGAGAGACTAGAATAATTCGGCGTGCCCCTTTCTGGACGAGAAAGTCTGCTGTTGCTAGGCCTAAGTCTCCCAGGCCGCCAGTGATCAAATAGGTCCCAGATGGACGAGGAAGAAGCGAATCCTGTCCTGAAGGTGGCAGTACTTTGGTGCGTGGTAATGGACGTAGACGTGCAACGCGTGGAATACCGTCCGAGATCCGGATGATATCCCCATTCTGAACATACTTTA